GGCTCGTGCAATAATGGCCTTCGGTCTGGGGCAGTGAAAAGACAGGGGACGGGGTGCACTGAGGGGAGGGGAGCCTGAGCCGGTCAGGGGCAGGGTTTGACCCTCTGGCTTTGTCCCCAGACGTGAACGAATGCACCTCCGGACAAAACCTGTGCCACAGCTCCACCCACTGCCTCAACAAAGTGGGCAGCTATGAGTGCCAGTGCCGCCCGGGCTGGAAGCCGATTCCCGGGTCCCCCAACGGCCCGACCGACACCGTCTGCGAAGGTCCGTGGCCCAGATCCCATGGCGCCGTCGACCCGCGGCCAAAGGTCCGCTCGCACCCTCACCGGCACCCACGGACCAGGCGGATGAACGCTGGAGGCTCCGTGCCGGGCCAGCCTTTTACTTTTTGCAGACTTGATGGGAAAAGATCTGGGGGTCCCGGGGAAGGAGCGGGGTGCTGACGGGGAGGTTCAGGGGGACCCCAGGTGGCAGCTGATTAACTGGGAGGAGGACGTTTCAGTGTTTCCACAGCTGCACATCTGTACGGGGCCCACCCGCTGCGCTCCGGCCTCTCCACGCTTCCCGTGACCCAGCGTCCGCCTCTCCAGGGGGGCACTCACACCGGGAAGAGTGAGGTGGGGATGCGGACAAGAGAGGGGACCCTCTCGGGGCTGGGACAGGGCCTGACCCCCTTCTTTGGGTCCCCAGATGTGGACGAGTGCAGCTCCGGGCAGCATCGCTGCCACCCGTCCACCGTGTGCACCAACACCGTGGGATCGTACAGGTGCCGCTGCCGCCCAGGCTGGAAGCCCAAACCTGGGCTCCCGAATAACCAGAACATCACTGTCTGTGAAGGTGGGTTCTGACCTGCCCTTGGAACCTCCCCCGCCCCAACACACATACACACACACACACACACACACACACACACACACTCTTGCACGCCTAACAAGCCGCCGTGCTGTTCCCTGCAGAGACGCCCTTTACCAACTGGACCCCGCCCCCAGGCATCCACAGCCGGGTGAGTGGCCCCAGCAGGGACCAGGAGGCAGAAAAACCCCACACACAGCCCCAGGATTTGGTCTCAGCTCCCCACCCACCCGAGAGAAGCTCTAACCCCCTCTTCTCTCCTCTCCCAAGAGTCTGTCTCGCTTCTTTGAAAAAATCCAGTATCTGGGCAGAGACTTCAAGCCAGCCTCAGCCCCAGGCACCATCAAGGTAAGGGCAGGAGGAGGCAGAGGACGGGGCGGCAGTTTCTGTCGCGAAGGAGACCGGCCCTAGTGCAGCGGGCCCTGCTCTGACTCCCTGCCTCTCCCAGGACTGATGGCAGAGCAGACGCTCTGGTTGTCTTACACACTGTTAGACTGTTATTATCTTTCCTCTTCCTGCCTGGACGTAGAGCTGATGTCATCATTGATGTTTCCGAGGAGGACTGGTTTCTAAGGGGCTGTACTCCAGGGGCAAGGATCGTCCAGAGCCACCTTTACCCCAAACAGTCTCTGGGGTCTGTTCTCTGGGTCTGAGTGGTTAGGGTGGTCGTGCAGCCCCTCTGGCCTGTGGCTCACTGGCGCCCTGTCCCCGTCCCTCCAGGACCTCATGCAGAATGTGGATGAGCTGCTGGAGACCCCTGGGGACCTGGAGAGCCTGTCCCGCTCACAGCAGTGCTGTGTGGCCACCAACCTGCTGGTTGGCCTGGAGGCTGTCCTGAGAGAACTGAGCAAGCTCCTGCCCGACGGGCTGCTCAATTACTCTGCCGTCACAGGTACGCACCAGGCGTGCCCAAGGCTCCCGCTCTGCCCGAGCCCCGCCTCATTCCTCGCTCAGTCCCACTACAGCCAAGCGACCACACTTGTGTCTCAGTGCTGCTCTCCTAAATAAATCAAAAGATTAGAAAGAAATACATAAATATGTAAATCATACACAGTTTCATTGTAATGTAAGTGGTCAGCAGCAAAATAATTACAATGAAGAACTTAACAAAATAGAAACAGCTTCCAAAGGAAACAATTTATTTAATATGGAAGAATATAAATTATTTGACAGGTAAGTGTGATTTGTTTTATTGAGGTAAAATTCACATAAGATTCACCATCTTAAAGTGTGCGTTTCAGGAGACTATAGTACGTTCACAAAGTTGTACAACGACCACCTCCGTGTCTAAAACGTTTCCATCACCCCGAAAGTAAACGCTATACCTACCAAGCAATCACAACCCATTCCTCTGTTCCCCCAGCCCCTGGCAACCACTAATCTGCTTTCTGTTCCTACGGATTGGCCTAATCGGGATATTTTATGTTAATGGAATCATACAATACGTGACCTTTTAGTCTAGCTTCTTTCATGTACTATAACATTACTGGGGTTTCTCCATGTCATAGCACGTATCAGTATTTCGTTCCTTTTCAGGGCTGAATACTGTTCCATTGTATGGATATACCACACTGTGTTTATCTCTCCATCCGTGATGGACGTTTGGGCTGCTTCCGCCTTTGGGCTATTGTGAATGGTACTGCTATGAGTATTGGTGTACAGGAATTATTTAAATACCTCTTTTTGGTAGTTTTGAGTATATACTTAGGCTGGAATTGCTGGGTAATATGGTAATTCTATGTTCAACTTTTTGAGAAACCACCAAACTGTTTTTCCCAAGTGGCTGCACCATTTTACATTCCCACCAGAAACATGTAAGGGTTACAATCTCCAAACCTTCAGCAAAACTTTTTACTTTCATTTTGTTCGTCTTTATTAAGGCCTTTCTAGTGTATGTGAGGTGGTATCTCATTATGCCTTGGATTTGCACTTTGCTAATGACAAATGTTTAAAATCATTTCATGTGCTTGTTCACCATTTGTGTACCTTTTCTGGAGAAATGGCTATTCAAGTCCTTTGCCCATTTTTTAATTGAGCTGTCTTTTGGTTGTTGAGTTGGAAGAGTTCTTTTCATATTCTGATAGTAGATCATTATGACATATGTCGTGTGCAAATGTTTTCTTCTGTTCTCTAGATTGTTTGCTCCGCTTGATTGTCTTTGCACTTTAATGAACAGAAGTTTTAAGGCTCAATGATGCCTATTTTATCTGTTTTTTTCTTTCTGTTGCTTGTGCATTTGGCATCCTAGTTAAGAATTTGTTGTCAAATCCAAGGCCAGGAAGACTTATTACTATCCTTTCTCCAAAGTGTTTTAGTTTTAGTTTCTAAATTTAGGAATCTTTGACCTATTTTTAGTTAATTTTTGTGTATTGTGTGAGATAGGGGTCCACTTTCTTTCTGTTGCATGTGCATATCCAGTAATCCTAGCACCATTTGATGAAGAGAATATTCTTTCCCTCATCGAATAGCCTTGGCACCCTTCATTGAGAATCAACTCACCATGAACATATGGGTTCATTTCTGGAATCCCAATTCTATTCTGTTGGTCTGTGTGTCTGTCTTTATGCCAATACCATATTGTTTGCATTACTGTATAGCTCTGTGGTACATTTTGAAATCAGATAGTATAAGTCCTCCAAATCTGTTGTCCTCCAAGATTGTTTTGGGTGTTTGGAATGCCACATGAGTTTTAACATAAGCTTTTCTATTTTGACAAAGTAATATAGGTTGTGGTGCTATTGATAAGGATTGCATTGAATCCATAGACCAATTTCGGGAGTATTGCCATCTTAACAATATAAAGTCTCCCAATCTATGCACACAGGATGTCTTTCCATTTATTTAGGGTATTTAATTTCTTTCAAAATCTTCTGCAGTTTGCTGTGTTACAAGTCTTGAGCCTCCTTGGTAAATGCATTCCTAACATTTTGTTGAGTATTTTTCATCTATGTCTATAAGAGATATTGGTGTATAGTTGTCCTGTGAACTCTTTATCTGGTTTTATTGTTAGAGTAATATTGATGTCATAGAATTATCTAGGCAGTGTTCCCTCCTCTTCTATATTTTGGAAGAGTTGACAAAGAGTTGAAATGTTTATTCTTCCTTAAGTGGCTGGTAGAATTCACCAGTGAAAAAGCCCTCTGCTCCGGGCTCCTCATTCGGGATGTTTTGATTATTGATTCAATCTTTTTATCTGTTATGGGTCTGTTCATATTTTCTATTTGAGTTGGTTTTCGTGGTTTGTGTATTACTAGGTATTTGTTCCTTTCATCTAGGTCATCTAATTTGTTGTTGCGCAATTGCTTATACTATTCTTTTATGATCCACTGTAACTTCAGACTACACGTGTGTGTTCATATATGCACATATACACACACATATACATAAAATAATCATATGTCAGCCACCGCGAGCAAAATTCCTAACGTAACTTCCCTTATATAATCCCCACAACTCAGAACTGTCCCTGAAGGTGCAGGAGCAAGGAGACGGAAATGTCACCTTGAGTCAGACTCAGGCAAAGATGCAGCTGAACTGGAATCTGGCACAGAAATCTGGTGACACAGATAATGGCTGAGATGAGTACAAGGTTAGTGAGGCTTCATGGTGGGACAAGTTGCCCAAGGATACGGAAAAAAGAGATTTAAAAAGTAAAGGGAAGTGTGGGGTGAGTGGGGCCCCAAGAGGAGAGTTCACGCGAGGAGGAAGAGGCCCTGCTGGGGACCCAAAGATGTTAACCTTGGCCTCGTCCTGCAGGCCCTTCTGCGGTGGGCCTTGTCTCCATCCCAGGGATGGGCAAGTTGCTGGCTGAGGCCCCCCTGGTCCTGGAGCCTGAGCAGCTGGCGGCTCTGCGTGAGAGACACAAGGGCTGGCTGCAGGACGCCCGCCCCGTCCTGCTCTCACATGTCAACGCTGCCTTTCTGAGCAACAAGGACACCCGGAACCTCAGCTCCCCAGTGACTTTCGTCTTCTCCCACCGTGTGAGTGCGGGTGGGGTGAGGTGGTAGGTGTCGGCAGGAGCCTGAGTCCTGGGCACAGCCTTGCTGCTCAGCTCAGCCTAAGGGTTTGGGGGGGCTCCGCCACAGGTACAAAATCTCCCCCCCAAAATCAGCCCTTCTCAAGGCAGCTTTGGGTCTAAATCTCTGAGTATCTGAATCGCCAGCTCACAGCTGTGCCCTGTACGTAGAGTCGGTGATCCCTGGGCCAAGGCAGAAGGTATTCTGTGCCTTCTGGAAGCCTGGCCAGAAGGGATGTGGTCACTGGGCCACCACAGGCTGCAGGACGGTGGACCCCAGAGACACCAGCACCACCTGCCACTGCAGCCACCTCAGCAGCTTTGCCGTCCTCATGGCCCACTGCGACGTGCAGGTGAGAGGGGCTGCACTCCGCATGTGTTCCTGTGTGACACATTCGCACAACTGTGGCAGGTTATAAAAAACCCAAGTTTATTATCCCACAGCTTGTATGGGTCAGCAGTCTGGTATGGCAACATGGGTTCTCTGCTCAGGGTCTTACGAGACTGAATCTGTCGTGTCAGCTGGGGCCGGGCCCCATTTCCTGTGAGGCTTCAGGTCCTCCTCCAAGCTCCCTGGTTGCGGGCAGAATTCAACTCCTTGTGGTTGCAGGACTGCGGTCCCACTTTCTCGGTGTCTGTCAGCAGGGAGCCACGCTCAGTTCCCACGGGCCAGTCATTCCTTCTCACGTGGCTCTCTCGCCAAGTACCAGTGTCCCTACTTGGAGGCCAGTGGGAAAATATCAATCACATGGAAGCCCTCTTTAACTCTGAATCTGTTTTCATTCCCTCGTGGTTTTAAGAACATTTGCAGAAACAGGTGGGGAAATGTGAAGTTTAAGCTACCACCAGCATCAAAGTAATTTTGTTCCTTCGACCAGGGCTCTGGTTCTATACCTGTTAGCATCAGTGACCAACAAGGAACAGGTGGTGCCAGGAGGAGGCCAGCAGAGTCTGGGATGGGGAGCAGATGCCAGGTCATCGGGGTATAAGTCTGCCACCTAGCATCACATAATGGGGACAGAAGAGAGTGTTCAGTGAGAGGCTTCACACCTGCATGAGCCTCCCATATCAACCTATAAGCTCAGTGACACTCCAAAGTCAAGAGAAAGAGAAACCCTTGTGAGTTCCATGGCTTCGTCGTGAGTAAGGAGGCTCTTTTTCTCCCTCAGTCCTCCCAGGGGCTGAACTCATCAGTTCAGAACCCTGTAAAATCCTAAAATTCTGAACCAAGATGAATTTGCCCATCAACTCACAAATTTCCCTGGCTCTTCCATTCCTGAATTGGCTAAGCCAAAAAAGAAAAGAGATAAAAATGGCAGTGGGGGTCATTACCCCAGAGGAGGAAATTATGACCTTAAACCTTTTTTTTCTGGGTCCCAGGAGGAGGCTCCTGTGCTGACCATCATCACCTACGTGGGGCTGGGCCTCTCTCTGCTGTGCCTCCTCCTGGCGGCCCTCACCTTCCTCCTGTGCAAAGCCATCCAGAACACCAGCACCTCCCTGCACCTGCAGCTCTCGCTCTGCCTCTTCCTGGCCCACCTCCTCTTCCTCACGGCGATCGACCGAACTGAACCCAAGGTACCGACAGTGGTGTTCCAAAGGACTCCCTTCCTTGCCCAGGGGATGCCTGCTCATGGAGTGATGCTGCATTCGATACCTTAATACAGTGACCCTGAGTCCTGGGGAAGGCTAGAGGAGGAAGCTGCCAATGTCACATTGCCTTATTCAATTAGAAAACACATCCTTTCTCACTCTCTCTCTCTCTCCCTTTTAACTATGCCCCTTGTCAGCAGGAAGAAAATAAATCATCTCTTTGCAACTCCATCATATACACCAGATTTCTCCCCAATGGCAGGGTACCAGAGAGGTCCTGGCCACACTCAGACCTGATTGCATCCCAAAGTGTCTCTCTCTCCTCCCCCAGGTGCTGTGTGCCATCATCGCTGGTGCCTTACACTACCTCTACCTGGCCTCCTTCACCTGGATGCTGCTGGAGGGCCTGCACCTCTTCCTCACTGCGCGGAACCTGACGGTGGTCAACTACTCCAGTGGGAGCAGATTCATGAGGAAGCTCACGTTCCCTGTGGGCTACGGCATCCCGGCTGTGATCGTGGCCATTTCTGCAGCATCTCACCCTCACCTTTATGGAACACCTGCCCGGTAAATGCAAATTCCCACTGTCCTCATCTTCTCTAGCACACCCGTGGCCATGACCAGAACAGACGTAGCATTTTGATTATGCCAGAGCATAATATGCAGAGAGACACTAAGTAATAATCCCTAAGTCCTAGGGATTATTACTACAATCTTTCTGGTAGAAAATTATAACAAATAAGGAGAATGTATTTAAATCTCTGTCCTTGAAGTATGAAATAAAAAGAAGTGCTCAAGACATCTTTTTTGTTTTAAATCTAATCTACTTCATCCAAATCTTATAGGATGCTCCAGTTTTTAATTTGGAAAAGTAGACCTGATTTAAATAACCAAAATAATTGATATTGTCATAGTTAACATTTACAAGGTACTTTGTGTCAGGCACTTTTCTAGCTATTTTTTTTTTTTGGTTTATTTTTTGCCTAATTACAGTGGCTAAACCTCCAGGACAACAATGACTTGAAAAGCAGACAATTTTCTCTTGCTCCTGAACTTAGGGAGAAACATTCAGTCTTTCCCCACTGAAGTACGATGTTAACTCATGATTTTTCATACATACCCTTTTTCAGGTTGAGAAAATTCTTTTCTATTCCTAGTGTGTTGGATGTTTCTATAACAAAAAAAGGTTTGATTTTGTCAAAGGCTTTCTACTCAGATGATCGTATGATTTTTATCGTTTATTTCATTAGTATGTGTTTTACACTGGTGGATTATTTGATGTTAAACCTGCCTTACGTTCCCGGGATAATTTCCCCTTGGTCATGGTGTACTATCCTTTCTATATGTTGCAAGATTCGGTCTGCTAGTATTTTGTTCAGGATTTTTGCGTTCATATTCATAAGCATATTGGTCTACAATTTTCTTTTCTTGTGATGTCTTTTCCTGGTTTGGTGTCAGGGCAATACTGACATCAGAAAATAATTTGGGAAGATAGAACAGTTCCCTCCTGTTCTATAACATTTTTGGTTTTGTGAAGAATTGACATTAATTATTTAAATTTTTGTTGAAACTCTCTGCAGCCATCTTGGCTGGGGCTTTTATTTATTGAAAGTTTTTAAATTATTAATTCAATAATAATTTGAATTATTCTCTTTGCTTGTTATAGGTCTATTCAAATCATCTATTTCCTCTTGAGACAGTTTTGGTAGTGTGTCTTTCTAAGAATTTGTCCATTTTATATAAGTTATCCAATTTGTAGTCATAAAGTTGTTCATAGTTCCTTATTATCTTTTTTTATTTCTATTAAGGTCAGTATGGATGTCCCCTCTTTCATCTCTGATAACACTGAGTTTTCTTTCTCTGTTTATCAGTCGGGCTAGCTAAATGCTTGCCAATTTTGTTCATCTTTTCAAAGAATTTCCATTGTTTCATGGTTTTCTAAAAACTCTTTGATTCTCTGTAGCATTTAGTTCATCTGTAATCTTCATGTCCATCTTTCTGCTTGACTTGGGTTTAGTTTGATTTTCTTTCTCCAGTTTCTTGAGAAGGAAGGTTAGATTGTCAATTTAGAATTTTTATTCTTTTATGATAGCCAGATGCAGGAGCTCACACCTGTAATCCTAGCACTGAGGCCGAGGCAGGAAGATCAGTTGAACTCAGGAGTTCAAGACCAGCCTGAGAAAGAGTGAGACCCTGGCTATACTAAAAACAGAAAAACTCACCAGATATAGTGGTGCCTCTATCCTAGTTACTCAGGAGGCTGAGGCAGGAGAATCACTTTAGCCCAGGAATTTGAGGCTGCAGTGAGCTATGATGACACCACTGCACTCTAGCCGGGGCAACACATTGAGACTTCGAGAAAAAGAAAATGTTTGACTCTTTTCGAGATAGCCATTAACAGCTAAGAATTTCCCTCTAAGCACTGCAATAGCTGTATCCTATAAGTTTTGGTATCTTGTATTTTATATCTTCACTCAACTCAAAGTATTCTCTAACTTCCCTTGTGATTTCTTTGTGTACCTATTTGTTGTTGAGGACAATGTTGTTTAATTTCTATGTATTTGTAAACTTCACAAATTTTCCTCTGTTGTGGATTTCTAATTTCATTCAATTATGGTCATAAAAATAGTTTTTATGATTTCAATCACTTTATTTATATTGAGGCTTCTTTTAATGCCTAACATATGGTCTATCCTGGAGAATATTTCTTGTGTTCTTGAGAAGAATGTGTATTTTGCCATTGTTGAGTGGAGTCCTCTGCAGATATCTGCTAGATCTAGTCAGTTATTGCGTTGTCCAAGTATTCGGTTTTCTTGTTGATTTTCTGCCTCATTATCTTATCGGTTATTGAAAGTAATGTTGTATTGGTTTCTGGGGGTTGCCATCACAAGTTACCACAAATGTGGTGGCTTCAAATAACAGAAATTTATTTTCTCACAGCTGTGGGAGCCAGAAGGCCAAACTTGAGATGCTGGCAGAGCCAGAATCCCTCTCAACATTCTGGAGGACAATCCTTCCTTGCTTCTTCCGGCTTCTGGTGGCTCCAAACACTCCTCAGCTGGAGGGTGTGTAACTCCAGTCTCTACCCCCGCCTTCCACTGGCCTACATCGCCATGCCCTTTATCACTGATGCTCTTTGTTTCTTTGCATGGATTCAAGCTACTGTCCAGTGTCCTTTCATTTCACCCTGAAGGAATCTATCTAGTATTTCTTGTAGGGAAAGTCTACTTGCGAAAACTTTCCTTTTTAATTTAGTTTGAAATACCTTAATTTCTTCTTCATTTTTGATGGATAATTTAGCTGCATGTGGAAGTCTTGGTTGACAGTCTTTTTCTTTGACACTTTAAAGGTGCCATCCCACTAGTTTCTGATCTCCATGGTTTCAGACAACAAGTCATTTTTAAATTATTTTTGTGGATCTCTTGTATGTGACAAATCAGTTTTCATTTGCTGCTTTCGAGATTTTCTCATTTTCTTTGACTTTTGTGAATAAGGGTATGATGTATCTGCATGTGTATCTCCTTGAATTTATTCTGTGTGCAATTTGTTGAGCTTGTTCGGTGTGTAGAGTACTATATTTGTTCAAATTTGGACAGTTTTCAGCCAGAATTTTTTTTTTTTGCTCTTTCACTTTCTCTTATTCTGAGACTCCAATTATATGTGTGTTGGTATGCTCAATCCTGTGTCACAGTTCTCTGAGGTTCTGTTACTTTTTCCTCATTTTGTTCTCTTTCCTATTATGAGACTGCATCCTCTCTATTAACCTATATTCAAGTTTGTGGATTCTTTCTTTGACCAGCTTAAATCTGCTGTTGAGCCTCTCTGGTGAGTTTTGAATTTAAATTATTATATATTTGAACTCAAGAATTTCTATTTGGTTCTTTTTCATAATTTTTATCCTTTTATTGATATTCTTTGGTGACATGTTATTGTCATATATTACTTTAATTATTTAGACAAGGTTTATTTTAGTTATTTTAACATATTCATAGAGATTTAAAGATTTGGTCTACTAAATCCCAAATCTAGGCCTCCTCAGAAATATTTTCTTTGAGCTGATTTTTTCCTGTGTGTGTTGCATACAGTTCTTTTTCCCCTGTATATCTCATATATTTTTGTTAAAAACTAGATATTTTAGATAACATATTGTAATACCCCTGTTATCAGATACCTACATCCCACCCCCAAAGTTTATTGTTGGTGAGGGTTTTTGTTCTTTCTTAGTGGCTTTTCTAGATTAATTCTGTAGATTCAGTATTGCTTGAAGTGTGTGACTTTTGAGTTCCTCACTAGCTTTTTGAAAGTTCTCGTCTTTATTTTTCATCCTGGTTCCTAAGTGTCACACCTGGGTCCATATGAATTAATGGACACCCAATGATTGGTCAGAAGATTTCCTTAAATTCCTTGCCTGGATGTTTTGCACTCTTTTTCAAGAGTATCTGTGTGAGAAGACACATCTTCAAACTTCGGGAAATTTACAGTGGAATCTTAGCTTTCACATGCCCATTAAGACATCATGAACTCCCCACACCCTAGTCTTACTAAGCAAGGCTCAGTAGTTTCTTCTGGATAGACTATTTTCAGTTTGTTCTGTGGATTCAGGTAATTTCCAGTGTTTTGGAATGCATGGCTTTCATTTTGTAATTTTGTTGTTTTAGAAAAAGAGCACGTTCACCAAGGTTCTCACACCTCCATTCAGGGAGTCAACCTCCTGGATTTTCACTTTTAACCACAACATTCTGCCAAAGTTTATGTTCACCTGCATCAGCTGAGCTCTTTCTAGGTGTCCTTCTTGCATACTGCATTCCTTTCTTGCATATGTTCTTCTCAGTGTACACCACAGTTGCCCTGACATGTCCCACCACGTGCTCCTTGCCCTGGAACTCTGCCTCGCTCTCCCCTTTTCCCTAACATAGGACCAGGAGTCAAGTCTGTCAGTGTCTATCAGTAAAACCTCGAGCAATAGACTTAAGCTCTCAGTTACCAATCTGCGATCATAAGAGAACCTCTCCTTTGCACTGTTGTTAAAAATTAAATTGAAAAGCTCCATAAAAAAGACAAATAACTCAACTTAAAATGGATAAAAGATGTAAATAGACATTACCCCAAAGAAGAGATGTGAATGACCAAGAAGGGCTGAAAACTGCTCAACATCATTAGTCATTAGGAAAATCCGCCTCGAAGGCCACACCATGAGATGACTTCACACCCATTAGAATAGTTAAAATCAGAAAGACAAAATAATGGTGAGGATGTGAAGAAATTTAAATCCTTGAACATTGCTTGCTGGAATGTAAAATGGTGCGGCCATTTCAGAACACAGTTTAACCTACAATATGACCCAGCAATTGTATTCCTAGGTGTATACCTAAATCAAGTAAAAACATATCCACATAAAACTTTGTACATGGGCTGGACACAGCAGCTCACATCTGTAATCCTAGCACTCTGGGAGGCTGAGGCAGGAGGATTGCTTGAGCTCAGGAATTCAAGACCAGTCTGAGCAAGTCCAAGACCCCATATGTACAAATAAGAGAAAATTTTACTGGGTGTGGTACCCATGCCTGTAGTCCCAGCTACTCGGAAGGCTGAGGCAGGAGGATTGCTTGAGCCCAGGAGTATGCGGTTACAGTGAGGTACGATGACACCACTGCACGCTAGCTGGGACAACAGAGTAAGACTCTGTCTCCAAAACAAATAAAAACAAGCAAACAAAGAAACAAAAACCTCCAAAACCCAACTTTGTACATGAATGCTCATAGCACCAGTATTCAAAATAGCCAAACCTGGAAACAACCTGAAAGCCTATCACTGATGAATGCATAAACAAAATGTGCTACAGCCTTATAATTGGATATTATTCAATCATAAAAAAGAACTTTCTAAAGGTTATTCAGCCATGTAAAAATGCTGTAATGTGGGTAAGCCTTCACAATATTATGCTAATTGAAGGAATTCAGCAATAAAAGACCAAATATTGTATGAGTCCATCTATATGAAATGTCCAAAATGGGCAAACACATAAGAACAGAAGTAGATTCATAGTGGCCTCAGTCTGGAGTAGGGGATGGAATGTATGTGTAATGTGTACAAAGTTTCTTTTTGAAAAATCAGAAATATTCTAAAGTTAGATTATGGTGATGGTTGCACAAGTGTGTATATTCCAAAAAACCCCACTGAACTGTATACTTTAAATGAGTAGGTTTTGTGGTATGTAAAATGTATCTCAATAAAGTAGTAAAAAATTTAAACTCAGTGGATCGGTTTTGCAGCAGATAAAAACATTAAATTGAATAGTGCAAGAAAAAACCCTTAAAATCATGTTAGGTTTACGGGACTCTCAAAACAGTTAACACCTTTACATACTTCTCCCTGCTTCAATGCTGTTTATCTCAGTAATGACCACTCACTTTTCATATCTCAGCTAATATATAATTTACCTGGGGAATCCTCCTTAACCATCCTAATCCCACAGACCCCAAACTAAGTATGACATCCAATGGTACAATGATATATTCTGATAGCCTTCAATTTTTGTTTTATTGTTACAATGTGTCTAATTGTGTGTATCCTTCCTGAGTTGAGATTTGTGGGATTTAAGAACATGTTTCTTTTTTTTTTAATTTTTATTTCAGCATCTTACGGGGGTACAAATGATTAGGTTACATATATTGCCTTTGCCCCAGTTCTATCCAGGAAAATACAAGAGGTGCTAGATCACCATTGTGTTTTATGGCTGGGTAGAACTCCATGGTACACATATACCACATTTTATTAATCCACTCATGTATTGATGGGCACTGGGGTTGTTTCCACACCTTTGCAATTGTGAGTTGTGCTGCTATAAACATTTGAGTGCAGATGTCTTTTTTTCCTTTGGGTAGGTGCCCAGTAATGGGATTGCTGGATCAAATGGTAGTTCTACTTGTAGTTCTGACCACGTTTCTTAAACCCCTGTATCGTCAGAGCCTGCCACAGAGGACACACTCAATATCTGTTGATGAAGGAAGGAAGAAAGTGGGGAGGAGGGGGGGAGTGGATTGACGTAACTGTTCCATATCTCCAAGGACCAATGCACTTTTTATTCTCTCTCTTGCACAGCTGCTGGCTCAACCCAGAAAAGGGATTTATATGGGGGTTCCTTGGACCCGTCTGTGCCATCGTCTCTGTAAGTGATGTCATCCAAGCATTCTTACTGCCCAGCAGAGGGTTACTAGAAGAGCAGGATCAGAAGTATGGTGACAAGAGCAGGAATGTCCCTGGGTGGTCATAGGTTGGGTTGGGTTTTCTAAGACTGCTCTTAAATCTTCAAACTCTAAAACTCTTACTCAATATTTAAAAACTACTTAAGTATATAACTGATGTTGGACAGGCTAGGAGGAAGAGATAACAGTACTAAATTTTATTCACTAAACCTTCTGTGGTTTCCTGAAGGTAAATTTGGCTTTCTTTCTGATGACCCTCTGGATTTTGAAAAGCAGACTCTCCTCTCTCAACAGTGAAGTGTCTACCCTCCAGAACACAAGGTATGTTAGAGAAGAGAGCGACAACCACACAGACATGTGTGGCTCCCAAGAGCAAAGCCATGTGCCCTGATGTCACTTCTCAGGGTCTTCTGAGGAGACCCAGGGTGGACAGATGGAGCCATCTTTCCATAGCAACCACCTCAAATCCAGTGGTCTGCTGCTGACGCCCCCTGCACAATGTTCTGTCCATCTCTAATCCCAGTTTGGGAATCTTTCAGCAACAGGAGGAATTGACATCAGTTGAAAAATGGTAGATATATACAATGCAATACTATTGGACCATAAAAAGAACAAAATCATGTCATTCGCAGCAACATGGATGGAACTGGAGGACATTATGTTAAGTGAAATAAGCCAGGCACAGAAATACAAATATCACACGTTCTCTCCCATATGTGGGAGCTTAAGTAAGTTGATCTCAGGATGGGACGATGGCTAATGCCTGTAATCCTAGCACTTTGGGAGGCTGAGATAGGAGGATTGCTTGAGGCCAGGAGTTTGAGACCAACCTGAGCAAGAGGGAGACCCCATCTTTATAATAATTAGAAAAATTCACTGAGCATGGTGGTATATGCCAGTAGTCCCAGCTACTCAGGAGGCTGAGGCAGGAGGATCACTTCTGTGAGCTAGGATGATGCCACTGAACTCTAGCCTGGGTGACAGAGTGAAACCCTGTCTCAGAAAGATAAAGTTGATCTCTTGGAGGCAGAGAGTAGAATGAATGATACGAAAGGCTGGGAAGGGTGTGGGGAGCAGTGGGCGATGAAGAGAGGTTGGTCCATGGGTACAAACATACAGTTAGATAGAAGGAATAAGGTCTAATGTTCGACAGCAAAGTAGAGTGACTATAGTTAACAACAATGTATCATATATTTCAAAACAGCTCCCAGCACATGGAAATGATAGACACTCGAGGTGATGGACACCCTAAATACCCTGACTTGATCATTGCACATTCTACGCATGTAACAGAACCTCACACGTACCCCCAAAATGCGTACAAATATGTTTCAATTAAAAAAATAAAAGGTAAACAATAAACATTCTTTGGACTGTTGTCAGCAGTCCTATGACAAAAGTGCAAAGAATATTTATGTTTTCACGACTCCACACACACAGCCTGCATTTCCATACCCCACCCTCAGTCCCAGCTCCCTCTCACCCCTCGAGCAACCCTCCCCCTGAAAAATCCTCGTCAACATCAAATAGTCTAGGAGGCTTGGGCAGCCCTTTGCTGCAGGCACCGTTGTGCAAAATTATATGCTCTTTCTCCTAGTTCCTGTCATTATCCTTTCCAAATTTTGCACGTCGTTCTGTGGTTGTATTACTCATTTGAAGAGACTGTGAACTTTATGAAAATGGAAATCTCCCTTTTTTGTGAACATTTATAATGCCCAGGCTCTAGCACAGAGCCACGTGCACAGTGCACGCTCATTAATGTTGATTAAGTAAAATTAGGGATCTTCATAATGCATCAAAAACTTTTGAAATGTGCATTACAAAGTGTGACTCTCCTCCTTGGTCCAAGTCAAAATGCCACCCTGAACCCAAGTGGCGTTTGTATTGAGACAGTCCACATTCAGTCTCAGAAATCAGCTAGAGGTGAGAGCATGGCCCCCACGGATGGAGGTGAGAGTAGCCTTGATTCTGTTCCTCTGTGTGTATCACAAGCCTCTTTCTCATCCAACCCAGGATGCTCACATTTAAAGCGACAGCTCAGCTCTTCATCCTGGGCTGCACGTGGTGTCTGGGCATGCTGCAGGTGGGGCCAGCTGCCCAGGTGATGGCCTGCCTCTTCACCGTCACCAACACGCTGCAGGGTGTCTTCATCTTCCTGGTATACTGCCTCCTCAGCCAGCAGGTACCACTGCCCAGCTCCCACCGAGGACTGTTCCTGCCCTCACCCCTCTCCGTGAGCTGACCCAAAGCATGATTTCCTTTGCAGGTCCGGGAGCAATACAGGAAATGGTTCAAAGGGATCAGGAAATCGAGAGCTGAGTCTGAGGTGTACGTGCTTTCCAGCAGGGCTACATCTGACACCTCTAGTCCCAGCACGGTAAGAACACGCACTGCTCCCCGAGCACATCACTAACTGGTCCGCTGGAGCAGCATATACCTACCATGCTGGCCAGCCTGGGTGTACAGCAGGTGACGCTCTAGGATGGCTCACACTTGGATGACTCCTGGACTCACCAACCATTAGCAACGGTCTCAGTTTAAATGTTTGCTTTTTTAAAAAATCCTTTACTTTTTCTCCTTAGGGAACTGTGCTCACCTTGTCTCTGAAGAATGAACTTTCTTACCGAGCACCTACCATGTGCCACACATGGGTAACTAAATAAGCAGGAATTGACAATCGAAGCAGTGATGCACATTCTACTCAGAGACACATTGTCCCATATTTTTTCTTCTACGTACAGCTCTACCTCACAGTCATTAGGCGCTGCCACCCCAAAGGAGGCAAATGTTGGAGAAATGCTGTACATATTTATAAATTTAACTCAAATAAGTGCTATCTGGGATTTAGGCTTTCTTAGCAAGCCGGCCAGTGGGTAGTGCATAGTGCCTCTGCTAAGCACTCTGTACCCACTGCAAAACCAGGAAGGACAAACAGTGATGGCATCAGATAACTCATGGCAATGATCACTAATAACCAACATTTATTAGGTCAGACTTACAGAGTTCTTTTAGCTGTATTTTCTCACCTCTTCTTCCATCTTCTCTGGACTCTATGTATGATTACAGCCCCATTTGACAGATGAGAAAAGTAGCAGCCTAGTTGGATTTATGTGAAGTATACAGGGTCTCTTTACCTAGGGAGATTTTTTTTTTTTTTTGAGACAGGGTCTCACTCTGTCTGTCAGGCTGGAGTGCAGTGGTGTCGTCATAGCTCACTGCAGCCTCAAACTCCTGGGCTCAAGTGATCCGCCTGCCTCAGCCACCCGTGTAGGTAGGACTATAGGACTATAATGATATAAAGAACTTCTAAACTATATCCTCTTTCTTCGTGGAAAATCTGAACATTCCATGAGATGTTAAGTGGGGAAAATAGACTTTGTTATGTGTGTTTCAAGAAATTCATCATGTCAGCGATGGGAAGGAAGTCGTGGAGGGCATGCTTGTTATTCAATTCCTGCAGAAACTGGAAGTTTTCTGGACCCTACAGTGTGCTCGGCAAACTCTCAGCATACAGTCGCCCAGCTGTGGCCCAGCTTCTGTTACTCTGGGTTAAGCCCTTTCCTACGGCCGCTCCTTCCTACAAAGACTCTCCCAGATGCTAAAATTCTATAAGCAGAAAAACCAGCCTAAAAGGACTTTCAGACCAACAATATCCAAAAAGACTGCAATGTTCACACCACAATCTGCATTTCTTTGTTCTCTATTTCTATGGGTTTAATTATTTACTCTTTCAAGAGTATTGATCACTCACCATGTCCACGGCATAGATCAAGAGAGACACACAGGCCCTGCCTTCATGGAGCTTTCTGCGGTGGGGGAGGAGGGGAAATGAAGTGATTCCTGCAGCTAGAGTTGACTGGGAGGCTGAAAGATTCCTATAAATCAAGTCTCTACCGAGAGGCAACTACGCCACCCCAGATTCCTGACACAGAGAAAGTCATAGAATAAATATGTGTTGTTTGGATGAACAGATAAAAGAAAATGTGGTATGTAAACTCAGTGGAATATTATTCAGCCTTTTAGAAAGAAGCCAGTTTTGTCATTTGCAAATGGATGAACCTGGAAGATGTTAAGTGAAACAAGGCAAGCACAGAAAGACAGATACCACATGATCTGCTTATGTGAAATCTACAAAAGTCCACGATTTAAAGCAATATCTAAAACCAAATATTATATAGGATATCAGAGCTCATTTATTTCCTGCTCTGGGTGTTACATTGTAGGAAAGGGCATAATTACAAAAGGGAAAAGAAATTGCTTTAGGAGCTTCAGATTTTTACATCAAAAGGAAATTTCGGAATAGATTATTGGATTCAAATTCAGTCATAACTGATTCCACTCCGAGTTGAAAGTAAGCTCGATTTCAAGTCATCATTATGCCTTACTTAGAGTACTCTTTATGATAATAGTAACAGTAAACACTGAGTACATACTACATGCTAGTTGCTCATTTGATTCAGGCTGTTGTAAGAACCCTATGTGGGAAATACTGTTACTACTCCAATTTTATGGATGAGGAAACTAAGGCACAGAAAAGCTCAGTGACATGCCCAAAGATACACAGCTAAGTAAGTGATGGAACAAGATTCAAGCCCAGGCAAGCTGTGTCCTATATTCAGATCCACGTTACAGCTTGTGTTAGTTTCCCGTGGTTGCCATAAAACAAATTATCGTAGGCACTGTGCTCCCTCTTCACTCTGCACAGAGACTGCTAAGGGGAGGTGAATTTCAAAGGTCCTGGTTTCGACGCCATGCGGATGGAAGAAAGAAGTCCACAGGTACCCACAGCCCAACAGACTCACAGACCATGCATACTCCACCTGGGAACATCTGCCTCAGTATGAATTCACACACACTCAACAAGCATGCTGAAAGCTTGTTTTCTTCCCAGCACAGTGCTAGGCTTAAAGGAAGTCAGATTGAGCAACTTCAAGTCTCTGATCTCAGAGAACTTACAGAAAAGAGGAAGATAAAGTCCAATCAACAATTCCAAAAAGCAGCGTGACTTAGGAAGGAAAGATCTCTGTTTCTGGCTTCCCTCTTGGATGTAGAAACCTACTAGGCATTGCCATGAATTCGCAACAAGAAAAAGCTGAATAATTGACAAAAACATGACCTTTCTTGAACCTATCAGTGAGCTGAGGTTGCACGCAACCTACTAGCCTGGAATCTAGGGGAAAAGCCGCAGCAGCTCACCTGTAGCAGGGGACAAAGACAGAGCCACTAGACGAGAGGGTAAAATTTCTGCTAAAATTTTTAACAAACTGAGAAAAGCCAAGTGTGGGCTGGTATGAAGGGGAGAGAATCCGAGAGGCTCAGGTGTACGGGGAGTTCTCACCCTCTCACAGGTTCTTTTCCTTGGACACCACCAGGTGCTCATGAGGAACACTGGGGGCAAAGCGGAGAGGGGAGAAAGCTTCCCTCCTCCAGTTCACTAAGGACACTCTCCCCCACGTTACCACACACGGCATTCTTACCAGTGACTTCCCGCAACATAACCTTTTTCTAACCTCCGCTACCACTTTCCTTACCCCTTTCAGCTGCTTTCTTGCTGCTTAATTTCAAAGTCAATGCCACATTTTAAGATTTTGTGCAACTTCCAGACCATTTTCCACAATAGCTGGGCTAATGTGCATTCTCATCAACAGTGTGCAAAGGTTCCCTTTTCTCCACATCCTCGCCAACAGTTGCCATCTTTCGCCTTTTTGACAGCACTGTGGAGAGAGCCAGACCCGCCACTTGCCACTCGGGTGACCTGGAATAACTCACCATAACTTGCAGGGCTTCAGCTTCCTGGTCTGTGAATTGGGGGTGATAACAGTGTCTACCGCAAAGCGTCACTGCGAGGACGAAATTGAAGGATGCAAAGCTTCAGGCAGTGGCTACTATCTGTTAACAGTAAGCTCTAAGTAAGTATTTGCTATCATTGTGATGAATGGTTGAATGCTGATCATTAGGGGGAAAAGATGGTCGCTTTAAAAGAATAAAAGTACCAATGTGCTGGAAATGTATCCAGTGTCAAAATCTCTTCATTTGACAATCCACAGTCATGATGGGAGAGTTTAACATCTCTCTCTCTCAACAGTGATACATCAGAGACCAACAGTTACAAATGTGTTGATGGTGTGTAAACACAAACAATATGCTCGTCCTAGTGGACATACGTAGAATACCATACACTGGTTTCAACCATCCACAAAGCATTTATTAAAAATTGGCATATTCGGACCGGGCGCGGTGGCTCACACCTGTAATCCTAGCACTCTGGGAGGCCGAGGCAGGCGGATCATTTGAGCTCAGGAATCCCAGACCAGCCTGAGCAAGAGTGATACCCCATCTCTACTAAAAAAAATAGAAAGAAATTGGCTGGACAACTAAAAATATATAGAAAAAATTAGCCGGGCATGGTGGTGCATGCCTGTAGTCCCAGCTACTCAGGAGGCTGAGGCAGAAGGATCGCTTGAGCCCAGGAGTTTGAGGTTGCTGTGAGCTAGGCTGACGCCATGGCACTCCAGCCCGGGCAACAGAGTGAGACCCTGTCTCAAAAAAAAAAAAAAAAATTGGCATGTGCTAAGTGCATCAGGGATTGCATTTGGCTGAAATAAACACATGCCCCTCCCCCAAAAAAAGTCTAATACCAGTAACAAATGCATTTTTTTCATGTAACGGGATGTCCAGAAATAAATAGTCCAGGGCTGGTGCAGTTACACAAAGATCCCAACTCTACAAATCTATTCTAACTATTTTTTAGCTTAGGGAGCCAGGATGGTTGTGATTTCTGGCCACACTCTCCTTAGCCTGTGGCTTTTACTTTCCTGGCCACAGGATGGTTTCTCTGGCTTTGCGCATCATGTCTGCTTGTCAAAAAGGCAAGAAGAGATCTGGTTAAATGAACCCATTTCTGTGCAGCATCTTTCCATGGAGGCATATCCAGTGACTTTCATATTTAGGCTTGCCAGGACTGGCACACGTGGCCTCCTGCCCTTGCTGCAAGAAGGGATGGGAGATGGAGGTGTTCAAATAGTCCACATTACCAACCTGAACAAAAAACCCAGGTTCTGTTCTAAGGGAGAAGGGGCAATTTGGTCGGCAACTAGCAGGAGAACCCACACCAGACCTAACAGCAAACCTCAACAAATACCTAAGATTGAATAACACAAGGGCTACATACTCTGCTCACCATGTAATTAAATTAGAAACCAAAGACAGAAAGGCAACTGAGAAACAGCCATATAACACACAGGAACCTTCCAGAATGACAGAAACATTCTACATCTGGAATGGGGTGTTGGTTACATACATGTATACATCTGTCTAATTCATCCAACAGTATTCTTAAAATGTATGCATTTCGCTATGTCATTATACTTCTCTGAAAATATATCCACGTACTGGTATTGAAAAATCTAATTCCAAATAACGCCTGGGTCAAAGAAAAAGCGATAATGGAAGTTAAGACAATACTTAGGATTAAACCAAAATGAAAACATTATACATTGAAACTTAGGATGCTGCTAAAGTAGTATCATGAGGAACAGTGATAGCCCCAAATGTTTATATTTCTACAAACTGGAAGTTAATTAGCAAGGGGCCCACCATAGGAATGAGACACTGATAAAGGCAGGCCGCCCTTCCTAATGTTCTCTCTCCCCATGTGGGTCCTTTTGTGCACCGTGAGTGAGGAGCTGTGTCTGAAGGCTTTATCACACTGATTACACTGATAGGGTCTCCCCGCAGTGTGTGTTCTCACGTGCACGATGAGGTGTGAAGACTGACCAAACGCTCGCCCACATTCCTGGCACGCATAGGGCTTCTGGCCACTGTGAGTCCTCGCGTGTTTCCTGAGGGAGGAGGGCTCGCTGAAGGCTCGCCCGCATTCCTGGCATGTGTAGGGCTTCTCTCCGGTGTGAGTTCTCATGTGACTCTTCAGGGTCGAGAGACGACTCAAGACCTGACCACAAGTCCCGCACTCATACAATTTCTCCCCCGTGTGTATCCTCTTGTGCACATTCAGGTGAGTGCTTGTCCGGAAGGGCTTGCCGCACTGGTTGCATTCGTACGGTTTCTCTCTGGTGTGGGTCCGCAGGTGGGTCTTCAGCGATGAGTGTTCTCTGAAGGCTTTCCCACACTGGCTGCACTTGAAGGGCTTCTCTCCCGTGTGAGTTCTCACATGGCTCCTGAGGGATGACGGCTGATTGAACGCCTTCCCACAATCCTTACACTCATAGGGCCTCTCTCCTGTGTGGTTTCTCTGGTGCAAAATCAGGTTAAAGTTCCTCGTGAAGGTTTTCCCACAATGGCTACATTCGAAGGGCTTCTCTCCAGTATGGGTTCTCAAGTGTCGCCGCAGGTTTGAGGAATACTTGAACGCTTGCCCACATTCTTGGCATTCAAAGCACTTCTCTGTGGTGTGAGTCTTCTCGTGCCTGATGAGGTCAGAGCTGTATCTGAAGGATTTTTCACATTGGTTACATGCATAGGTTTTATCCCCACTACGGATTTTCTCAGGCATGATTAGGTGAGCGCTCTGGAAGAAGGAATTTCCACTCTCTTGACATTCGTAGGGGGCCTCTCCCGCATGAATTCTCTGGTACTGGAAAAGTGGTTCGATGCTGTTAAAACATTTCTCAAGTTCATTATATTTATGGTTTTTCTCCAGGCTGAGGTTGCTCCCATCAATTAAGGAAAATGTGAAGACCAAAGACTTTATTGCATTCACAGATATTCTTCCCCATGCGAACTGGATATAAGAGACAGACATTTCTATATCTACCATTTTTACCATTTTAGTGAAACTGTACCATTTCTACCCCAGAGAATGGAAGAGGGTGAAGCTCTGGTACAAAGAGCCATCTTTTCATTACTTTCATGGGCTTTTTAGATGCAGAGTTTTTCTGAATTGTTTTAAGACTAAATTAAGTTTTAAACACTCAGTATCTGTCACATTTGTGAAAATGGTTACCTGTGGGAACTCTATGAAGACACAAGTCTTGATCTACATTTAGAATTTTCTGCCAATTCATGATTCACCAACTCTCTCCCAAGAAATTGCTCCTCCTGGGCAGGCACCACTTGCCTCGCATCTCAGCTGTTGTGTTGCTTATCTAACCTACAGCAACCCCAGACTCTTCCTACCGTAGAAGACCAAGAATAATCCCTGGTGAACCTTACCCTTTTCATGCCAATGGACGGAATCTCCACAAAAATATCTTCACCAGGAACTGACTCTCTGGGTTGAAGCTGAGGTTCTGAAATGAGTTAGGGGGAATAATTAAGGACACAGAGAAAGAAACTGTGGGATCGAGGTGACGAAAAAAGTAAGCAAGGCATATCTGGATTATTTCTTTTTAAATATTGAGCCTAAATGTGGGGAAAAAATTGCAAAGTGTAGGAACGTATCAAAGAGGGAAGGAAAATTTTAAGGTATTTGGCTACGTGAGGCGTTATGTAATTATAGGAATGAAGGGTGAAAAGAGCAGATAATTTACTGAGAAAAGATTCTATGAAGATTGTGACTAATGTAAAGGAAAATCATTGGCAAGAATGTACAATGGGGAGGAAGTGGATAAAATATACACGTGGAAATGTTAAAGATGAAGAGGAGGTAGGACAAATCTTTCTACGCAATCAGAGTGACATACAAGAGATGAAAAGGAAAGGGAAAGAGGAAAGAAGATGGAATTGACTAAGGGCATTCAGCCGGACTTCTCAGTCAAGGGCACTGAAAATGTTTCCCTGATTGATAATTTCCCAATCTAACGCTCTTCTCGCTGACCGGAGCTGGTGCTTACCTGATCCACCAGGCACTCACCTGGACAAGTACCTGAGACGTCTCCTTTGTCCTTGGTCCACAGCTCTTCTCTTTGCTCCAAATGGGACAATGTACAGGGTCTGCAGAGTCGATCTCCTGCTTGTGGGAAAAGATGCACAGTGTGGGTGGACTTCATCCCACCATGACACTGGGCTGATATTCTAAAGTTTTTAGGGGCTCTGGAGACGGGAGCAGCAAAATGAGCCTGCCTGAATTCTGACAGACGCAGCACAGCTGTTTTGCTGAGGAACTAAATGCAAGTTCCCTCACTGGGTCCCAGAGGATATTAGGGCTCCCTAGTCCCGAAAGCCCAGGGCCCAGCTCAGGAATATACATGAGAAGCCCAGATGCTTTTAACCATGGACAGAGTGCGGCAGACAGATCATCATTTCCGTGGAACGGCCACTAGACTGCAGGCACCATGGGACTTATCTGTCTTTCCACCTCTTGGCTTCCCAAACCCGCAGAGTTCCTGGGACCCATGGCTGCTGCATGAGTGTGTGGACGCAGTGACGAGGCCAGCCTTACCCACGGAGGCCAGGTTCCTGTAGTTCTCCAGCATCACGTCTCTATACAGGCTCCTCTGGGCAGAGTCCAGAAACACCCATTCTTCTGGGGTGAACACCACAGCCACATCTGCAAACGTGACTGGTTCCTAAAACACACACCCATCCCGGCTCAGCCAGCGACCACCCCCAGCAAGACTCAAGAGGACAGTGAAAACCAACAGCCCTGGGGAAGGGAGGACCTGTGTAGAGGATTTTCAGACAGCCTTCTGAGGTCCTCCAGAATCTGCCCCTTGGCTCAGGCTTCAGAAAGAGAACTCCTCTCTCTAGTCTCCACTCTGAGTGACAGCAGCAAGAGGCTATAACTAATGTCAAAAGGCTTCCACTTCACGAAAGGACTTATCTATTGACAACCAGCCAGGAAGTCCTTGCAGATTTATGCCCCCTCTCGCTCCAGGGTCTAGCAGACCTGAGCACGTTGCAGGCAGGGGAGAACTATCTGGCAAATGACTGAACTCTTTGCTCAGCAAGGTCATAAAGACCATGAAAGGACAGCTCACATCCTTGCTTTGTTTTCCCTCCTAGTGCTCAACAGCCTGGGGAGGGGTCTGAATGAGGGGGTGGGATTGTTGCCCAGGCTGCTTCCCACTGACTACACGAGGCCCAGAGGGTCAAGAGAGTCCGAGTCTGGGAAGGCAGCAAGTCCAGCCATTGGGCACAGCAGAAGGATTTTTTACTTACCTGTGAACAGGTGGTCAGCAACCCAGGAGCCAAGGCTTCTTCCTGTGTGCTGTCCTCCTGGAGCCAGGCGAGGCCCGTTGCAGGCAGAGCTAATGGAGAAGAGAGGAGGTGCAAGGGTCAGTGCCCAGTCCAGTGAGCCACTCACAGGCCCAGAGGCTTCCCGCGCTGTGAGTGACCACATGTGCGTGTGCACACACACACACACACACACAGTCATGGTGGAACACACATGCAGAGACACACACACATGCTCTTGCACACACACATGTACACACACATATACATACACAGACCAGCACACAAACACACACACAGACATATACACAAAGAGAAAGACACACACACACACATATCCCTCCATATCCATATCCCGAGAGCCACAGTCTCATGTCACCCGGAGACTCCAGAGCTCCCATGGCACCCACCATTCCCCTGACTCAGCCTTGGGACAACTCTTCCTCCCCAGCTGCCCGGCCCCTTCCTCCGCCCCCTACTCTACATGGCTGGCATCGCCCCAGAACTCACCACAAGTAGGGAACAGATGGCCCAATACCACCTTGTGATTCTGCCTAAAAAGGAAACGTCCTTCCCACCTGCCTTCAAATCTCCACTGCTCCCTCCCCCCGCACCAAGCATCCTCCCTCTGGCCTAGGACAGACAAGCGAGCGACTCCTTGGTCATCCCTGATGCCCCTGCTCCCTCACCTCTCCCTCCTGACGGAGACTTTCCCCTCAGGACTTACACCTGACCCACAGCCAAAGTAAGAGCCCGGCCCAGCAGGCTTACCAAAGATATCCTGAAGAGCAACATGCAACCTAAATCTAAGAATGACTTCCTGTCAATGACATAACACACATTCCAGACTCAGGAGTGGATGACATTTTGAAGAAACAAAGTTTATTACTCTTACTAGAAGGCAAATTGGAAGAAAACAAACATCTTGCCACTAAAGCTAAAATGTTATCTGTCTTCTAGAATTAACTTTACCCCACTTCTCGGGAAATGTGGCTTTGAACCTCATTTTTTAAAAGCTCAGTGAAAACCCAGTCCATTTATAGTAAATTCAACTGTCATTTTCAAACTCGACATAATTGTGTAGTCAAGAATTTCACGCTGCCCAAAGAGAAGTCTGGCCTTTGCCACAGTGGCTGAGTGGTCCCTCTCTTTCTTAACAGAAGGATGTGTGACCGACAGTACCTGTCCCCTTGAACACACAAGTAATGAGACATGGCTGTGGGAATTCCCTCCTACGGTGCCACGGCAGGGCCGCAGTCAGAGCAAATGCAGGTGGGATGGGATGCAAGTTCCCAGGCAGGACACGAGGACAGCAGAGCCGCCTGGCACACATGGCACTCACTCACCAGAAGCCCCGGCCACCCATGGGTCAGGGTGGCCCAGCGTGGGCACCAGTGTCACCATCCTCTGAATCTGCACAGCCACCGTCAGTCCCTGGACAGAGCAACAGGGGTCACAGATTAGTGTCAAACAGCCAAGGGGATCCAGTCACAGCTGTTCACCCAAACCGAATCTGCACAACTGGCACAGCTTTGGGGAACACAGTGATAAAAGAAGGGACACACCCTGCTGGCCCTGCTGACATTCACCTAATCTCAGTACAAACCTAAGCACTGTCACACAAGTTCAACTGCAAATGGGAAGCAGAGAGGGGCCCAGGCAGGGCTGGGAGGTGGCATCCTCCGAGCAGGCTCCAGCAGAGGGAAAGCTGCAGCGGGACAGAAAATGGCAGGAGGCCGAGGGGCAGAGGGAAGATGGAGCTTGGAGGTGGACCCGAGTGAATGAGGCAGTCAGTAAGGACAGGAACTCTCCTCTCACCCTCACTTGAATTTTTTTTTTTTCTTTTCTGAGACAGAGTCTCCCTCTGTCACCCAGGCTGGAATGTAGTGGCGTAATCATAGGTCACTGCAGCCTCCAACTCCTGGGCTCAAGCGATCCTCCTGCCTCAGCCTCCTGAGTAGCTGGGACTACAGGCACACACCACCATGCCCAGCTAATTTTTCGATTTTTTGTAGAGACGGTCTCACTTCTGCTCAGGCTGGTCTCAAATTCCTGACCTCAAGTGATCCTCCAGCCTCAGCCTGCCAGAGTGTGAGCATGACAGGTGTGAGCCACCCCGCCCGGCCTGACTTGCTCTTCTAAGGGATCCCAGTGGCCTCCATGTCCAGCATGGGGCCCAGTAGCCTGTCGGGAACAGTCCTGGAGTCCAGGAGAAACAAGTGTCTCTGGGCTGGGTGGTGGTGGCAGCAGGGATGGAACAAGCAGTCAGAGGTGGGCTGCATTTTGGAGGTATCACTTGCAGGACTTGGTGGTGGGGGGAGGTAAAGCAGCAAGTGCCTCAGGTGAGGTAACAGGTAGGAGGAGGCCCCTTCTCCTCAGGGCAGGACTCAGGATGTGCCTTCAAGTGTCCCTGTCCCATTCTCTCCCTGCCTTGGTAAGGAAACCCAGAGCCCTGAGCCAAGGGAGGTCTTCACCAGCCTGGACGCTCCTTGCCCAGCCCCCAGGTCACAGGACCTACCAGTTCCTGTCAGTTTCAAGGTCATGGAAGGGGTGGGAGGTGAGACTGGAAGATGGAAGGCTGGAGCAGGAAAGGCAGGGCCCAGGGTCCAGCAGCCAGCCCCTCACCCAGGACGCCCCCCCGTGGCTGCCCCCACCCTGGGGACAACTGCATGCAACACAGAAACAGACTCCACCAATCAGAGCCCACTCTGCCCCATCTGACTCTGATGCTGACACTAATCCACGACACGAGGGGGAGGGATGCTGACTGAGGGGTCCAGGGATCTCCCTGGCTCTGTGCCTCCTTCTGTCCAAACGCTAACCCTAACTTTCAAGAATGAGGACCCAAACTTTGGGAGGTCCTGTAGTTTGAGTAAAAGAGAATTTGGGGCCAAAAGAAGGATGATCGGAGCTCAATGTGGATTTTCTCATGCACTGCTGATGTGTAAGCTGGTTCTGAAGGCTCTCCCACACTAAAAAGGGCTTCCTTCCACTGTGGAGTCTGGAATGGTCTCCTAGGGGGTGAAGGATCCCTGAAAATTCTTCTATATTCTTTACAATCGCAGTGGCCTCTCTCTTGCCAGTGCTCTCATTCAGATCCGCAATATAGTTCCTCCGGAAGAGTTTCCTGCCCCAATGAAATTCACTGGGTGCCTTCTCTCCAGCTGGAGTTTGCTCCTGACCAGAAGTGAGTAATGGGGGGAAGCTCCCCAACATCTTTGCCAGTGCCCAGGGATCCTCCCTCCACCCCCAGAACTTGTTCTCAGCATTTTTCAAGACGCGCCTTGTTTAGACAGCCGGAGCTCTTTAAGTTGCGTACGTTGCTGGCTCCACCACAGGGCTTGCTCTTATTCGTAATTTTCACGGGGTTTCTCTACCAGGAGGCATTTTTCTGGTAATTGTTGAGAAATAAATCATATTTCACATACTCGATGTCTGGCTCACATTTATAAAAATGTTGACATGGAGAACCTTGTAGAGAAAAAGAATCTTGAGCAACCGTTGGGGTTTGTTCAAATTCAGGAGCCACAGACGCTGCCCTAAGACACTGCTTCCCCCTGCCTCCAACACCTCCCTGGCTCAGCTGATTTCGAACTCACGTATCCCTCAACTTCTGCCGTGGTAGGGAACCAAGGATAACCCCAAGAATCTTACCATTTGCATGTCACTGGACGGTGTTTCTTCCAAAATATCCTGCATAGAAGTCAACTCTTTGGGTTTAAGTTGAGATTCCCAGTCTAAAATGAATTTGGAAAAAAAAATTAACTCATTTGAGAAAGAAATAGTGGGATGAAATTGAAAATATGTAACGTGTGTGTGTGTGTGTGTGTGTGTGTGTGTAGGTAGGCTTTTTTCTTTTAATATTGACCCTAAACTTGGGAAGATACTGAAAGGGAAGAAGGCATCCGTGAGGAGGGCTGTGGTGGAATTTGGCAGTCATAGAGCAATCGGGGAGAAATGAGAGGTGATTTCCTAGCTAAGGATTCTATGAGGATTCAGATTGGTATTTCCAGAAATGGGGTGTTATTAGAAAAACAAGTAAGAAGCAACTAGACAAAGGACAGACACAGAAATGTTAAATTTAAAGAGGAATTAGACACTAAGTGTGGGTGAGGACGTGGACAAATCAGAACCGTCATCCGTCACTGGAGGGAATGGACGATGGTGCACGCGCTTTGGAAAGCAGCTTGGAGACTCCTCAAAATGTTAAACATAAGAGTTACCATATGACCCAGCAATTCCACTCCTAAGTATATACCCAAGAGAACTAAAACCACGTCCACATAAATGTACACAAGTGTTCACAGCACCATTATTCACAATAGCTAAAAAGCAGAAACAATCCAACTGTCAATCAGCTGATAAACAGATAAACAAAATGTGGCATATCCATACAATGAAATATTATTCAGCTGTAAGAAGGAATGAAGTTCTGATTCATGCTGCAACATGGAGAGATCTTAAAAACATGCCAAGTGATGGAAGACAAATATGCTATAGTTTGCGTGTGTCCCCCAAAGTGCTGGAAACTCAATTGCAATGCAACAGTGTTGAGAGGCGGGACCTTTAAGAAATGATTAGGCCATGAGAGATCTGCCCTCATGGATGGCTTAATGTCGTTATCATGGGTGGGCTTGTTGTGAAAGTGAGTTCAATTCTCTCTTGCTCTCTGGCCATGTGATGTGCTCTGCCGTGTCATAGCAAGAAGGCCCTTACCAGACGCAGCCCCTCGATCTTGGACTTCCCAGTACGTGGAGCTGTGAGGCAAATAAACTTCTATTGTCCATAAATTACCCAGTCTGTAACATTCTGTTACAGCAACACAAAATGGACTGAGCCAGGTACCAAAGGCTACATATCACATGACTCCATTATAGAAAATGCCCAGAACAGGCAAATCCATAGAGACAGAGAGCAGATTAGTGGTTGCCAAGCACTCAGGGTCGGGGGAAGGAGGAGTGACTGCTAATGGGGACGTGGTTGCTTTTGGGGGGGTAATGAAAATGCTCTGGAATTAGATAGTGATGATGGTCGCACAATGCTGTGAACCACTGAACTGTACATTTTAACAGGGTGGATTTCATGGTGTGTCAGTTATGTCAATTTAAAAAAAAAAAAAAAGAGAGACAAACCTGAACAGACCTTTATCAGAGACTAAAGGATAGTGTGAGAGGAGGAAAGAAAGTGATCACAGAAGAGAAGCTAAGGGAACTTGAAAAACCACACCCCAAATAGCCTCAGATGTCCCCTCAGAATAAAGGGCATTTTAAAATGCTCTCAGCCTGACACTTCACTTCCTGGGGCCTGCGCCCAAACCAAGCAGGTCAGGATATCTGCAGCCTGCCTGGTACTCACCTGCACCCGTGACCTGGAGAATCCCTCATTCTGCTGCCAGTGGCTCTGCTCTTGGCCCCAGCTGGGGGACCAGACTGGGTTTGCATGGTGGAGTCCCTGCCCATGGAGAAAGATGCATGTGCTGGGGGAGGGAGGGCACAAAGGCTCACCTAGCCCTAGCTTCCACATGGGCTTCAGATTGTGAGGCTTAGCAAGTACTATGGATAGTAAAGTGATAAGAAAGTGATCTCACCTAATTGCTAATGAATGGCAGAGCTCTTTCACAAGGACCCAAACCACGAACACCCTCCTCCCTGCCCCAAGAGCTGAGGCGGAAGGAACCGCATGACGCCAACCTTACCCCTAGAGGCCAGGGTCCTGCAGTTGTCCAGTATCACGTATCTGCACAGGTTCCTCCGCGCACCATCCAGCAACGCCCACTCCTGGAGGAGCCCCACGGCCACATCCTCAAAGGTGACTGATTCCTAAAATAGCACACACGTTCCGGCTCAGCAAAGAACACCCCCACCACTGTGTGGGACAACTGGTTATCACTGGGGAAGGGAGACCTGGCACAAGGATGTTCAGATGCGGAGCTCTCTCTATACCAAGGGGGAAAAACATCTGGCCCACCACCTGTTTTTGTAAATAAAGTTTTATTGACACGTAGCCATATCCATTTGTTTACATATGGCTGTTTTTATGCTGTAATATTATACTTGATTGAGCAGTTGAAACAGAGATCATATGGCGCACCAAGCTGAAAATGTTTTACTTTCTTTTAACATTTGGACAAATTCTAAAGTGTAAGTTTTGGCTCTCTTTGTAACTCGGCTGACTCGTGAGGGGAGGGCCTATCCTTCCCAGCTTAGAGCTCTTCCTAAACTGCTTATTTCAAATTTTTCCTAAACTCCTTATCACAAATTTGGGGTTGACTTCTTACTTTTTGTGAAGTTCCTAGGACCCCTCCCAAAACTTATATAAGCATTTGCTAATCTTTTATACCTGTGAAAGTAGCACTTCCATTGCATCTGAGAAACCAGATGGCCTTTTAATTTCAGAATTCTCCAGATCAACACTGTCCAATACACCTCTCTGTGATGATGGGAATGTTTCATGCCTGCACTTTCCAAAAAGGGGGGGCAACTAGCACGTGTGGCTGTTGAGCATATGAGCAATGTGGCTGGGAGGACTAAGAAATTGAGTCTTTAACTTTATTGAATCTTAATTAATTTCAATTTACACGGCCACCTGTGTTTTCACTAGGTCTCACCAAGGATGGCGGGGATGGCCCTGGGGCAGCCCCACCCTGCAGGCAGACTCCAGAATTATTAAACACAGAGCCCCAGGTCTGCCGTGGGACCCTCCTCCCATGCCAGTTCCTTCTAGAGGTCACGCATGGAAGGAACGATGTCCTCCCCTTTCTTCCTCAGTTGGAGAGGGGTGGTGCAGGGAGAGGGGACAGGGCCCAGAGAACATAGTTATCCACCCCCTCAACCATCAGAACCCCCAACTTCCTCACCATGACACCAGTGCCAGGGTTTAAGGTCTCAGTAGGTGTCTTCCCTGCAATAAAAGAGAGATTGAGGTTAAAAGAAGGGGAGAGAATGAAAGCAGAGAATCAAGCGAGGGCTTGGGCCAGGTAATCCCATTTTTGTAGGTCTCTGGCAGGGTGGCCAAGCTAAAAACCCTTACAGGGAACTTATCTCAATAAACAGCATATCGGGCCCTGAGCCACCTTTCAGACAACAGCACCTGCTGATTTCTACTGGCTCCTCCCACCTCATAAAAGGATCATTTCTCCTCTCATATTCCCTCAAAATATCTCTAAGACCCTCTACTTTTCCTCCACTTCCCTTATCAAGTTGTGATTTTATATTTATTTAAGTGATTTTTGCCTCTTTCTCTCTCAAACTATGGTGTAAAGTTTGTAAGTATAGACCTGTGTCCATTTCTTTCAGTATTCCATATCCAGCCACCATCGCGACACTTGATGAGCACTAAGTACTTTATATATTAGAGGTTGGCAAACTTTTTCTGCAAAGGGCCAAATACTAAATGTCTTAAGATTTGTGGGCCACGTGGTCTCTGTCACAAATAATTAACTGTATGGTTATGGTGCAAAAACAAACATAGACAATCATGTTCCAATAAAACTTTATTTATATAAGCCAGTACTGGACCAGATTTGGCCCACGGGCCATAGTTTGCTGACCCCTGCTCATGTCATACAGAGAATACATCAATCATAAAATTCTCAAAATTCTACCTTCTTCAGGCATCTCAAACATTCCAACTTTTCCAGTCCCACAATCATCAAGCCCCACCTACCATCATCCAAGTCCTGAACTTATTCATGAACTTTGCATGCATTCTCGTCCACCCCAATCTCCACGCTCAACCCAGGAGCCAGCGTTTTGTTTAAATCACAAACATAAGCATGTCACTCCCCTACTTAAAACTCTTATTCATTGACTTTCCTATGGCCTTAAAATAAGGTCCAGAGTTTACCATGACCTTCAGGGACCTGCCTTCCTCTCTAACCTGGCTCATCCACTCAAGGACTTTCTTTACTCCACTTTTCTTTGACTTTTCTCCGCTCCTGGAACACACCAGGCTTCATACTACCTGAGGGACTGAGCATCTGGAATGTTCTCTCAAGTCTCTTCCTCAAGCCTAATCCACAGCAAGACTCTTTGTTTAGCTACATACATCTTGTAGGTTCAAACATTTGTCCATTTCAAATGTTTTCCCTGAACTCTTCCCCACGTTCTCCTGTTCCATGTTTCCATATCGCCCTTGTTATTATTAATTTAAAATCTGTCTTCTCAGCTAGAATGAAACCTCCATAGGAGCAAACACTATAACTACTTCCGTCACACTGATTCCCCATGTACAAAGCCCAGTTCACTGACGTCACCCCAGTAAAAGTGTGCCAAACAATCTACACTCCTCAAGAATAATTCAGCATAGCTAGCCTAAGAAGGCACATGCCTATGCACACTCACACACATACACACAAAACAATATGACACCACAAAAATCAAATATAAGAATGACTTAAAATGCCCGTTCATCATACAATATAAATCGCAACACTCAATTTCAGGTGTCTTTATGAAACAATACTGGTTCTTTCTAAAAAGGCAAGGCAGAGCATGTACTCTTTTTGGAAACAAACCTCTCACTCATAAAAACAGAAATCTGATGCTTAATTCTCCTCCACAGTTCATTTTTTCCTCATTTCTCAGAAGTGACCTCTAACCCTATTATTAAAAAATGCATTCCATTTATGGCCAACTCAAGTTGAATTTCCAGTACTAATAAGGGTTATATCACCTTTTTCCTGAAGTCCCATATGTTTTGAAGCTTACTGACTTGAAAAGAACTGAATAGTCCACTTTTCCTTGATAATAACATCTGCGACATAACTAAGAAATAACTTTTCTTAAAATATTCCCACTTCACAGTGAAAAAACTGATGGATACGACAGCCGAAGTAAAAGTCACAAATTAAATGATCTCTTAAAAGAAAGAAAAGAAGGGGGTAAAAGAAAGGAAAGGAAAAGGAACAGAATTTATGCTAACAGATCTTAAACTAAGAGACTGAAACTGTCAATCAACAACAAAAAAAAATCTCCTGTCATCTAATTCATGCCTTGATGGAGGACGGTTCATTCAATTTCTCAAATAAATCTGACAAGTCACTCAACTCAGTTTGCAGATGTGCACCAGGACCTAACTTTCCAGTTGCAAAGCAAGATACTAAATATCATGCAAAATAAAACGCTATTTACTAATACGCAGTTATTTTGCGTACGAGAAGTAGGGTAGGACCCTCTGAAAGAATGCACTTTCCCTACAAATCGGGAAGAACACTGGGGCGGGTGTCACCACACTCCTGAACGGCAGGACCCGACTGTACTTCAGAAATTCCCGTTCGACAGGATGACAGACCTGTCTTCCCAGACCGGGGGTACCCGAGAGCGAGGGACCTGGCGGTGGGCGCCCAGATGCGAGGCCCTAGCTGTGCAGACCTCACGCCAGCCCCCGGACTACCGCGAAGAGGAAGCACCCGAGCCGGGCGGCAGTTCTTGACCCTTCGGCCGCTCCCCGCGCCCGCCGAGCCCTCCCCTCCCTCCCGAGGGGCCGGGCCACACCTGCAGACCAGCGGGAGACACTCCCACCGCAGCGCGCCGCGCAGCCCACACAGCCGCCGCAGCCCGTCGCCGCCCGCACTTCCGCTTCCGGTCTCGGGGCCGCCGGGAACGGAAGTAGCTGGGGCTCTGGTTCTTGGGGCCCGAGGGGGCTAAGACAGCGGTAGGAAGAGTAACCCCTCTTTTACGCAGCCTCAGAGCAGAAAGTCTAGTTTTCTTCCCCCGGGGACAGTGAGGTTAGGCTCTAGAATGGGGTCCCACTGGACCTGGAGGGTGGGGCTGGGGCGGGGCCTATGTCCGAAGGACAAGGACAGGGGCGGGGCTTAAATCCGACGGGCTGCGATGGGGCGGGGCCTTGCTTGGGGGCTGGAACGAGGGCGGGGCTTGAACGCAGAAGCCGGGGCCTGAGCCGGAAGGGTGGGGCGTCCCACCCCGCAGGGTTCCTTAAATTTTGAGATGCTCAGTATTTAACTTAACGGTTTTCTCCTTCATTATTCCCCAAACCCCTCCACCTTTATCCATCAGTTAATCCAATCACTTACAAAAATATATACCCATACTCCAGGGGGGTTTGTCTATATTTTTATATACAGTTGAACCTTGAGCAACAGAGGTTGAGGTGCCACCCCCGTGTAGTGGAAAACCCGCACATAACTTTTGACTCCCCAAAAACTTAACTACTGATAGCCTAGTGTTGACCAGCCGCCTTACTGACAACACAAATAGCCGATTAACACATATTTTGAATGTTATATGTATTATATACTGTATCTCTAGCTTAGCTTATTGTAAGGTTAATTTGGGGAAACACCAGACCATACCGAATAGATACTCAAAACATATCAGTGTTACAAGCTAAATTACACGGCAGCATCCTTATTTTTCTTCCCTGCTATTTTTCTATTCCCAAACTTCCTTTGCACCAACTGATTTTATTCCTGAGAGCCATTTCCATGAAAATGTACTCGTTAACAAATAAAGGAAAGAAAATCAAATTTTGCTAATGCCATGAGTGTATTTCTTTCCCCCATATAGCTCAACAGCAAAAATAAAAATAAAAAACTGTGCAAAGGACCTGAACAGACATTTCTCAAAAGAAGGCCTACAAATAGCCAACAGGTATATGAAAAAATGTTGAATATTGCCAATCATCAGGGAAATGGAAGTCAAAACCACAATGAGCTATCACCTTGCACCTGTTAGGATGGCCATTATCAAAAAGACAAGTGATCACGAGTGTTGGCAAGGATGGGGAGAAAATGGAATCCTATACACCGTTGGTGGGAATGCAAATTGGTACAGCCTTAGGCAAAACAGTATGGAGGTTCCTTTAAAAATTAAAAATAGAACTAA